TGCTCTGCACCCTCGTGCGCTGGGAAACCCCTTTAGCCCCACAGCCCTTCTAGTCTTCTGGGTGACGGCTTGTCGTGGAACAGTGCAGGGGTACAAGTGCTGACCACTGGAAATAAGGAGCTGGCGCATTACGACCCACAAGTTGAATGTAAAGCCACCAGAGTCCAGAGGTGCGCATTTGCCCCGTGAATACAACGGCATAATTCGAGTCCCGCAACCGCACATAGACAAATGCCATATCCGATGCACTCTCTGAGAAAAACATCGAAGACACGTAGAATGCAATGTGATTTTGGTGCGCTACAATACGAGACTCTGGGTAACACTGGCCCATTGGTTCCTGTGTTGATAGTCCAATCATGTCCAATCATAAGCGCCTACGTATAGACGCCATGCTCCACTTCTATTTGGCACGACCACCCTGGACCTCCAAGTCTATTTGTGGCTGCCGAGGCCTTGAACTTGCCGGGTCTACGTGCAATAGCTTGGCACTGTCGGGCTGGTGGCTGGTTTTAATGAAGCGCGCAAACCTTTTCTAAGATCTGACTCGTAGAAAGTGCGATACACGCTTTGGAGTGTTGTGTTCGTCAGCGCCACCTCAAGTTCGCGGCACAACTCGAAGTTCTTGTGCCTGAAAGACGACTTCTTCAGTGATTGAAAGTTGTGATGACGCACAGGTGTCCTTCACTGTCTCGCATAAACAGCTCGTGGCGCCGAGTAAAAAAGACATGAACAAAAGCATTCCAAATCAGTCCAAAACTCTGGTAGAATACCATGCAGGCAGGAGGTTCGTGCGAGTCCTCTAGCCGCTTGCCAGCAGGCCAAAGCTCCCCAAAGTAGCTGGATTGTTGCTGAATAAACCTGACTGCTCTCTTCCGACAGGAAGTTTAGGACTTCAGAAGCGTGTTAGCCAAACGAGCTGAACTTGCCATGCGCGCTGAACTGTAAACTACTACTATATCTCTGCGAGAAGAAAGGATGCTTGGCTGAAGCTTACATAGGCTTGCATGCTTTCTGTAACCTGTAGCCGCTGTAGCCCGAAGCTCTCCTTGCTTTGCTCTGAAGTCCCCTGGAGAGAAGGGTCCCAGACGGGAGTTGGGATTTCGCAGTGGGCAGCTAATTGCATAAGTAGATTTCAATACATGCCTTCAGATCTGTGCTGAGCCTGACAACCGAAAATCTTGACTGTGCACGGAAAAAGCAGCCTTTGGGCCGCAGCCCCGATACTGACGTCCGGTTCCCCTGCGATTTCCAAGCCAAGCACAGACGTACGAGCCAACTGGCACCACTTGACATCCACGCACCACGTGGCGCCTTTGGTAACCCATTCCATTGCCTTGCTGTTGCTGACAAGTGCTTCCCTCATAGCTAACCAAGCCCTGGGGGTGAGCACAGGCGTCATTATCTCGACGATCCCCACCTCAGCAGCAATCAAGGTGGGATCAATGGCCCACGTCTCACTCTCGTCATCTTCCAGAACTTGCAGTACAGTGTGATCGCTTCCTCGTGTCTGGGTGCTTCTATGAAATTTCTTGACTATGGCATCCTTTCTCCAGTGCTTCCAGTGAACCTTCCCCTTGTCGAACGCCACGATGGCAGGTTGAGCAACCTGTGGCTGAAAATACCTTCAGCGAAATGGGACTGGGCTCTACGTGACGGGTTGAGCCACAACGCAACCAGATGCTATCTTCGGAAGTGGCAAGGCAGAAACTATTGAGATAGTAACAGATAGTACAGACGTAATCGCGGAAACTCAGCCGCACTATTGGCCTTGAGGAAATACCTGGAGTTGAATTTTTGCAGTCGCAAGAATACCCTGCCCCTCCAAGTAAGAGCGGCCCAGACACAGCATATTCGCCCAGAAGGCAAACCAGTTCACGTCCGAGGTTTTTACGTCTCCATCTGCCAGCCATACATAGTCGTAGGCTGCTACAGCAGTTGCAGTCAGATGCAAAACCCAAGCATCGATCTTGCGGGTTTTCGGCGCGTGAATCACCGATACGTTCAACGGAATGTCCGACACATCAAGCGGGCCAACCTTTTCCCACACCAGGAGGATGACATGCAGGTCAACTAGCAATTCCGTGATGCCTGCATAGCAGACAACATCTGCTGGCCACGCGTCCAGTGGCAGATCTCGGCTTACGTGTGCTATATTCCCCGGTAAGTTTCGGGCAGCGCAGTGGGATGTGTTCGCGGTTTGAATACCTCTAGTCTTGTCCGCCAAAGATCGGATATCGCCCTTCGTAAATTCCACCTCTTGTGCTCCGATGGTACGTACCATAAGAACCTGCAGTGCTGAGATGGGAGCTTGGAAGATAAGTTCATTCATGATCCAAGTGTAGGGCAGCGCAGGGTTCGACCTACTGGCAAAGTTGGGTTGATTCTCCAAATCCCAAACTTGATTTAAATCTAACCTTACATAGCAGCCTGGTGTTACGAGTAAGTTTAGGTTCACACTGTTTCAACTTGCCCATGACGTCATCGCCTTGAGCCGGATCGGACCCGCATCCATCACGCTAAGCGTCGCGAGCTCGCGCCCGTGCAGCTGCAGGCCGACAATGGTCCAAAGCACCAGCCCCGCCACCAAAGAGGCAACTTAGAACGATGGCAATGACAACAGTAGCAGCTACAGTATACAGCATCACTTCACCATGCGCCATCCTCTGGCATAACTTTGGTGCCGGTAGGCTCTTCCAACAACTCCACAATAAGACGGCACCACATGTGCTGTACAAGCGTGAAATACAACAGATCAGTCCTACAGCAAGACAAACCAGAATCGGCACACACAGAAAGCCAAGGCACCACGGCCCATGCTGCAATGCATCAGAATCATGGGCGGTCACACAACAGGCAGTGACAAACAGAAGTACCAGGATGAGGCAGAGAGAGAAACGTGTTTCAATTTCCATGTCAAAACATGCGTGCAACACACTTTCAAGGTAGCAAGAGTCGGACTCTTGGCTGCGGATAGCTGCGGCGAAGCATCTGCTTATGGGAACCGCCGCAAACCTGCACTGAGCTATAGCTACCCCAGCTTGATGGCCACATGCCGGGAAGCAAGCAACTCTTTGCTTGCACGCCGGTGCCTAGAAGCCTGCATCAGAGGTGCAGGTATTCCATTTTGGCATGTCGCTGTTCGTCGACTACAGTGCGGCAGTGGCTTGGCTTTTAAACATGCATCGCTAGGAACGATACTTTTGTGGTTAATGCATGTGCCCTACTGGTGCCAGCAACACTACAGTCCTAACGACATCCAGAATCCAGATGCTGCGCATGTAAGCTGCACGTAAGGAAGGATAGCAACTCACTACAGTCGCCTAGAGTAGCATTTTAGGCCTGCTTGTGGCGATGTCAGTCATGGCTGCAGTGTTATTAACTGAGCTGTGCAATGCAGCAGCAACAATCAAGTTTCGGTGCAGCTACAGCAGTTGAACCAAACTCAGCGCAAATTAGTCCCCACGAGCTTGCAACTTGTGGCTTTCGTCCGGCGGAAGCTTCCAGCTGTGTTCCTGTCGTCAGCTGCAGCCCTGATCTAATCGGCCTGAGGCGCTTCAAGAACCCATGGTCTTCTGGCAGGCTTTGGGGCTCGGATCAGAGAGATCATGTGTTAATCTTTGCTGGATTGCAGAATTTCTCAGAGCGTTCTTGTCAGTGCAACCGATCCTGCATACATATGTGGCGTGTCACAGGCTTGCGCGTCGATGAGTCCAGACTGGGACCTACCTCTTCATGGTAGCAACAAGCATTAAAGCCGTCCGGGTTCTCATTTTCGCTACTGAGGATGAGTGCCAGTGTCGGGGCTGCAAGTGGCTAAGAACTCGTCAGCTTGGAATTTCGTGGAGTTTGGAACATCGAGACATTGCTCAGATTGACCAAGCTGCATTCCACGAAGTGAACGGCGCGTTCGAGTTTCACTTCAGGGACATGATGCCATGATGATTTTCCTTCGAGTGATAGTCGTGCTGCTACCGTAAACACAATGATTTGGGCAACAGCTTTAGCTGCGAAATATCTGCCTTGGCACTTCGCTGCTGTCAACGGCATAATGCTGCAGATTGCTGCAGAAAACCTTTCAGTGGGTGTCGTGACACAAAGAGTTTCACATTTTCCAGGAGGCAGCGGCATGCCAGCACCAACAATGAATGCACAAGACAAAATAGCACAATACGGTGACATGTCCGCGCAACCGTCAGAAGAGGACTGCCTTCTTCTCTGCCGCCCCACGCTGGGTACCTGGCTTGCGCCGCAAATGAGTGGAGGCGCATCTTTCGTGGGTACACGCGGCTATCCATCCTATCCCAAGCGAAAATACTACAGCAAGCAAGACCCACCTAACAGTGGGTCCATGCAAGCTTGATGCGACAACCTGATCAAGTATCGCTGTTCCAATCTGCAAGATGTGCCAAATCAATGAATGCCGATGGTTAAAGATAGCTGATAGCAGTTCAACTGCTCTCTACCTTCCGTTGCACTGTAAAACTGCTTGTCATCTTTTTGGGACGGAGCTCATAACGACGCGGTCGCCTTCGGCGATCGTCCACGAGTTGCAGATTAAGAACTGAAAAGCATGTGCCGGCACCCTGCCAAACAGGCTGTGGCAAAGACTTCCCAACCAAACTTTTTGAGAAACCGCAACCCCTGCTGCAGCTGGATGCATGGTCTTGCGGCTATGGTGTTGGTTTGTGTCTACTGATTTGTCGCGAGTAACCTGGCTAGTGGGTTTCGAGCGAACTCTCCGTTTCTCCAGTGGTGGGCCATGCGGCCATGAACATCCAAGAACCTGGTCCGTTCCCACGCCAACTCATGTAAAACAACTCGTACTTTGGTGTGCAAAGGTATGCGAAACCAGAGTCTGAACATGATTCACAGATTTCGTGAAAGAGTGCTCACATTTAACCACTGTAGCGAAGCATGTGTGAAGGTGCCCACGGAATTCCGATGTGTGCAGTGCGCGAAGACGCACATCTCCACTCCTCGGTGGAAGCTTTCGGTGTGAAACAATGCATCCAGGGCCTGTGTCGGACTTGAAGTTCCACGCTCTCAGGATCGCAAAGAAGCTGATATTCCACCGGCTGCCGGCTGATCTGTGAAAGTCGTATCACCAGGCCTCGTGGAGTGATCTGACGCGCACACTTACTATCTCTATAAAGAGATAGTCTATGAGTCTATGACCCCCGAGGGGCCGATTAGGTGAGACTATATTGCACAAAGCTTGCACCAGCATTGACGTATTCATCATGGCTTCCACAACATGAATGGGAAGGCTGCCAATGGATGCGAAACATTCGAAAGCAGGGACCCAAGTGAGTGGAAGCCATTTACCATTGAAAATCGAGCAGTGACCACATGTTGTGCTCAAGCGTGCAGACTAGTCCAATAATGCAAGCAGTCAATAGTCACTGTCGCCGTGGATGACGTGGCAAGACAAGTTCTATCCTAGCAGCCAAGTGCGCAGACATGCCGGAGCACCTAGACCCTGATTACACGGACAGACAACAGGATTGCTTCTCTGAGAACGCGCCTTTGCTAGATTGGTTGAGGAATCATGCTTGCAAAAAAGGCAACATAGCCTGCTTGGGATCCAAATACTTCCGGGCCACATGCATCCAGCTTGGCAATTGTCATGGTGGTCACTGCTTGGCTGAGGCAGTATTTCCATTCGGAAGATCCCACTGCAGCCACAACCGATGCGAACGAGGCCAGCCCAAATCACAGAACTGTTCTACCTAGCACATGTTCACTAGTCTGCATGCACAGCCAACCATGGAATGAGTCAGAAAATCTAAGGCTAGCGTAACATGGGAGTAGCTTTGGAAATTAAGTTGTTGGGCTAGGGCCACGAGGGCGAGCGTGCCATCCTTCGGGAAAGCCGTCGTTGTATATGCCTTCCACACAGCTTTGGCCTGGCTCTCTTTGCAAAGTCTCAGGCTGCCGCAGCAGCAGTGCATGCTCCAGGATCTCCCCCTTTCCTCTTGAAGCCCTGCACTGCTTTGTGTTTGAATTGAATCCTCTGGATGAACTTTCCTTATCTGAAAGCCGGACACTTTGTAGACAGGGGTGCCCGACATACTGCTTGCGTCGTGGTGGCGGTTTTTGCGCATGTGAACTTCGCTGGAGAGACTATTCAAGCCTCGTGTGAAGTCTTCGTCTTCCTCAAGCCGCACACAAAGTCATGAACATGAGCATCACGATACAGACGATAGCATGCCAAGACCTTTGCCACTTCGCGGGCGCGAGAGCCAACTCGTAAGTCGTAAGAACAGTCATAGCAATGCCCTAGGCACATGTCCACTGGCTGTTGCAAGAAGAAAGGCCCCCGGAAAAAGATCCGACGAAGTTGCCCGCTCATGCAAGCGATCCGGCCCAGGTTCCCCTGCACGACAAGGAGATTACCGAAACATTGGTCAGGTCTTGGGGCTGTTGGGGCACATCAGCGCCACGGGGCGATCAGGGACTGTTCCTCTTGGGTAACTACTGTCGACTACAGTCTTCACTGGCCGTTAGCATCATGAGAGGTCCCAGAGCCCGCACGCACTCGCACGCACCAAAGAGACAGAGACACAGAGAGACACACAACACCCAGAGAGACACGGAGCCACACAGACAGACAGAGAACAATGCCCGACAACAAACCCGTTACCATCACCATCACCATCATGAATCATCAACAACAATAACATCAGCAACGATACATATATCTATATAGACACACCGACGAAATTTAGGGAAACCCTGGCAAGTACTGCTCACAACTCTGAGCTTCCCAGCGGAAGGTCGTCCGAGGCCATGCGCTTGCCCCGTCGACTGGCCGGGTGAGCCTCGCCCTGAGCCAGGTCGCTTCCAGGCTCTCTCTGCTCTGCGCTGTGGGCAGATTGCGAGATTGCGGCCTGAAGATCTCAGTAAACAGAAGGCTTCAAGCTTGCGCCCTGCCTGTGCGTGTGATCGGTGCAGAAGCTGCTGGACATTTCCAATGGCCTACATCGGAAGGAATGTCAGGAAGTGCAGCTCATCATGGTTTCTACTACTTTGTCCAGCACGGCAGCAGGGCATGTGGCTGGCTGCGGCTGGCTGGGCGGCCGACCGCATTGTGTGCCATCGTCCTTTGCTGGCTTTGCACCTGTAGTGATGGTGGCTCCCGTGACATTGGATCCTCTCGCCCGTAGCGATTTGAGTATTCTAATACTCACATGCTTCTTTCGCGCTGACAGCACTGGGCTCAGTGCAAGTGAACCACCGCCACTACTCTGCTTCGGTTGCATGCGAAAAGTACTCAGCCCCTGAGTCCCTGATAAGGCCGTGGCCGGCTGTGCTCGTCCTGCTCGGAATCAGTTCACGTTAGTTTGAAAGCCATGCACAGGCTTGCGAGCAACATGCCTAGCAATTTGAGCTCACAAGCCGTCGAACTGGAATGCCCGCCCTCCACTCTTCCTTGAACCACTGTAAAGCCGGCTATGCCCTGCAGGGCCCTCAAGATTTCCCCCCGACCCGCATGCTTCAGCGTCGGCCTCGCACATGATGTACCAGAACAGCACGCGCCACAGGCTGGCCGGAATCCTGTCTTTGGGCTTTCCACACAAGTTCCTTCTCTCTGGCCAAGAACATCCGAACGCGTCCCCCCCTTAGCTTGAGCGCGTTCCGGGACCCTGCCGCGACATGCCTGGGCATGCCTCGTTATGACTTCCACCTGGGGTTGACACACTTTAGCAGGCGAGTCCGCGTCAACTCTGTAGTCCCCAAACCCCCTCATTTTTGAACGTACCGAGAACCCTGGTCCCTCCGATCAAAGGATGCTGAAAAGTGTATTTCCAAGGTGGGTGAATCGGCCACAAGCCCATCATCCTAGCCTTTCTCCCACTTGATTCTCGGGGCATCGGCTCTAAGGAGTTCCGTGTCTGTGATGTTGCCCACGAACCCAGGAATCTCTGCAAGCCTTAACAGAAAACCCTGTCAGGCTGTTCCTGCGATGACTTGGGTCTTGATGGCTCCAACAACCATGCATCCCGCAGGCACTCCTGTCAGGGCCAAGGCCGGATGAGTGCTACTTTCGTTCAGAAAACCTCGGTGGTGGCTGTCTGGGGTTTCCGAACCGTGACTCTCACTGAATCCTCTGCACAAACCTCGACCGTGAAAGCAGAGATCAGGCCTGGGCATCCGGGCGGTCAGACTCGCTGACCTCGTGCGGCGCTGCAAGCAGCGTGTTTCATCTCTGTCATGGCGGCTTCAACGGCATTTTGCGCCCTGTGATGGCTCTCAGGATCCGAGAGATCATGGCAGAGCTTCTGTACAAGCAAGGCAAAACCACGTCTGGGGAAGTCCTTGCAGCTCGCCTTACGAATGCCAAACAAAATGTCGCACGTGAATGCTAAGTAGCTGTCCGTCTGCAAGCCGGCCTGTGGGATAGTGAAGGCGCGCTGCTGACATCATTTGCACTCCGCATTCCCGTAGACAAACCCCTTTAGCCATCACCCGGAAAGTTCCGCCTCAAACCTGCGGATCGCCTCCTCGACTTCATCGAAGCTGTGCGTGCCATCCACCGGCGCAGACTTGAACTCCAACCTATCGCCGCGAAACACATAGAAGCGGAACGGCCACGGCGCAAAGCTACGTAGGAAGGCATCCTCAATTCCATCGACGGCCATTGTCCATGTAAGTTTGCATTTGCGTTGGAATTCGAGTGCTGTCTGCAGCCGCTGCACGGTATCTTGCGGCTCCAATACTTGTGGCCCATCAATGGGCCAGACATCTGTAGCATGGGCCTCGCGTATGTACACACACAAGAAACGGATTCTCTTCTGTCCACTTCGTCTCGAGCGTAAATCATTCAGGACATGGATGGCAGCACGAAATGGGGGTCAGGTCCAGGAGCCGGCACAAACAACGGTGAGATCTCCGCAAAAGTCCCTCAGCCTCTTGCTCTGGCCATCAAGGCCCACCAGGGGCACGTCTGGCAGTGGCTGGCCTGGTTTTAGACAACCATCCTCTGCAAGATTTGCACGCGCATACACGGACAGCTTGGCGAGCTTTGGTGCCACCGTGTGGGCCGTCTGCATGCGTCTCGCCGCAGTGGCAATCCCGACTGCAGACCTGAACCCGCTTTCGATCGCAACCTCGCGCTGCAAATCGCGGACTACATCAAGCCACTCTCCACCCGAAGCTGTGCAGGCTCGCATGCGCTCAAGCGTCTCGGGGGCAAAACGGAGCTCTTCCTGGCGCCTCAGCATTCTCTCCAGCAGCGCATCATCCAACTGCGGATCTTCGGGCTCTTGAGTTGCTAGCGGAAACTCGTCCGCTGGCGTTTCTGTCTTCTGACAGGCCTTGTCGGACAGCCAAGAGGCCGCTTCTTTTGCGACCTCTTGGCCTCTGGATTGGACCAGCTCCAAACGCCGAAGCAGCTCTTCCACGCGACAGGATTCTAAGTAACTTAACATCTCAGCCTTGGAGGCGAAGGAGACCAGCTTCTGTTCGCGAACACTGTATCGCTGCAGGCTCTCTGGGCTTCCATCGAATTTCCATTCGTTTCCATCGTCAAAGACGATTTTGTTTGCGATCACCTTGAAACCCTGACGACCGGAAATTGAGTCGCACATGCCCCCTCGGAGATTCGGGACCAGGTGCAATTCAGTCCCACCCTGGATGTTACAATCTCCACAGGTCCGCCCGTGCTCCAGCTGTTTGCCTGCGCAGAGCACCTGCTGCATTTCGGCAGGAATGCCCTCTTTGTGCTGAATCCTTGCTTTCACTTCCTCAATCATGGTGTTGGCATCGATTTCATCCACTTTATGGGTTTGCCCCATCGGCGTCTTCACGTGACTGCAAGATCCCGAGCTCTGGTCGACGACTTCTGCAATTGTCGCGAGGAGGCTCTGCTGCTGGAGCTGGATCGCCTCCACATGCTGGATCATCTTGAGTACAACCTTTTCCTTCGCATGAAACGGCTTGTTCTGCAGGGATGCTCGCAAAGCCTCGATGTCCAAGCCCATGGCTGGAGTCGTTACAGTAGCTGCTCACAGCAGCGTTGGGGATTTTCATTAACAAACTTCCGTGCCAGCAATCATCCTTAAGGTGGGGTGCATGCCCTTCTTGCACACGTCGACGTTTTCTATAACCGTGAGACATGTGGTCATCATCTACAAACAGACTACGACCGTGGCAAAAGCATCAAAGGCCACTTTTCCATTTCAGATGCATCCTTTTGTGCCCAAAGGCAGCCCCACACAGCTGATCTCTCCACAGACTGCGACGATTGCTGTCCAACATCTCTGAGCCGGGAGCCGCCAGCATCCGTGCGACAAGGCGTTGTGCACCTGGCTCCTTGTCGAAGACGGCGTGGCTGAAGCTGACCCTGCAAGACCGGGATGCTACGAGCAACACCTTCGGAACGACATGATTCTGTATGGACCATGGAAGGTGCCCCAACTTCCTCTTCACAACTGCCGCAAAAACTATCGAAAACATCGGGCTTTAAGCCCTCGAAGCTCCGTACATGCTCGCATCATCTCGAACCTTGCAGGAGACTGGATGATGCGGTGCAGTCATTTCTTTAATGACGCTTGCCATGATGTTGTAGTGTTTCTTTGCGGTGCTGATGGCGATAACAATCATGACCGGCATCGCGGCATCATCACCACTACCATAATCACCCTTGGCCACCGCCATCGAACATCGCGCCTGCTTTTCTCTTATGCGGTGGGTTTCTCCCCCTATGCATAAGGAAAGAGCCCACAGCACAACATAAATACCCAGTCGACATCACCATGACTGTTGCCATCGTCGTATGCTTCTGTCGTTCCCGATGACTTTGGTTCTGGACCTGCGTGTGAGGATCTGAAGAAATTAATGCTGCAGCAGAGATGCTAGGGCGCTAGGGGTGTGAGCGCAATCATTCCTACTTTGCCGCTGCATTTTCGATTCAGCTAGTTCTCAGCCAGCAAGTTCTATATCCTGTACAGCGGTGGAGTCAGCATGGAACTGTACACAACCACTCCCCTTGCGAAAGGATGGAAGCTTCGGACTTTGGGCTTCCACGGCTAGGAGGAGCTCATCTCACACTGGAGACGACACGCACGCTCGAGAGGCTGTCACGTGAGCTTTGTGCGTTTTGCAACTGGAGGAAGTGCCTCGGCACCAGGGCTTCACAGCGATCATGTTTCAGTTGTCGCTGTGGCAGACGTGTTCACAGCATGAGGCTTCGCATCTGAGACTCAAAGCCCTGTGTGTCGCCTACTGAACTCGCACGTCCTGAGCATCTATTTCCGCCGACGATGAGCGATCGGGAGGTCGCATAAGTGCCGCAAAGGGGCTGTACATGCTGCCAGCTGGTGAGCATTCCAGAATTGGTATTTATGTTCGTGGTGAGTGCTGCAGGCCTGGCTGTAACTCGGCAAGATGCCCCAGCTTCAGTACCTCCTGGGGGGCACCGGTCCCAGGTTGCGAGGACGTAGTCCACATGGGCTGGATATAGCCTCTTGCTAAAGGCGCAACCAACACAAATTAACAAAGGCTAAGCCGGGTAAGCAAGTCTTGGCAGATTTTGATTAGAGCTTGCCAACACATCTGTGCCAGTCTCGCAATCTGCTGCGACGTGCTCCATGCTGCAAGATGCGGCAGGGATATTCCTGACCGTGGGGTTCTTTCTTTGTGTGACAGTTTCAGCCAAGTCCCAAAACGATGTCAGTTTGCGGTTCCGTTTGGCTTTTCAGCTCTGATGTACATTTCCTTGGACACTTCCGCTTGGGTTTCCGTTTGTCTGGGAGCTTCGGAGTTTTCGACTGTTTCGTTTGGATTTGGGTGGGTTTTGGGTTCCGAAAGGGGCATAGAAAACATGTTTTGCGTGCGGTGTGTGGCGGGTTTTCCTTTTTCCGGTTCTGCTCTAACTGGAAAGCAAAGGAAGATGAAATGTGCCTTGTTGCCCACGTGGGCATTACAACGTTGCAATCATCCAGGGAGCTTCAGCGGAGGATTGCGGAGCTGCTTCGCATTGGGCTTTGTGGAATACCTGAAGTCATTAAGCCATTCTCAGGTCACAGGTGTATCTGGAGTGGAATGCGCCATCTGATCAAGCTACCGCAACCTCAATCCAACAGTGGTGAAGTGATCCTATGTCCCGGCCTATAGGGACACTCATCAGCACTCATCCCAAGCCGGCTCACATCCCCAGTCCCCAGTGGCCCACCAAAAGCGTGAAAGTTACATCGAGCGCGCCAGCCGCAAGACCTCCTCTTTAGTGCGCATATACCTTTTGCCGGAGGTGGCTGCCGGCTTGCCCGACCTCGTATCTTTTGCGAAGTGTTTGACTCTCACACGTGCAAGTGAATAACAATGTTAGAGTAATGTCATCCTTGTGCAGGGAAGACTGCTGGACCAGCAATGAGTATTGTATGTCTCAGTCAGTCGAAACAGCTGGAGAGTCGCTCGGCCGTCCAACTGACTCCGAACTGAACGACAAGCCACGCCCTGCACTTGCCCACAAATCTACTTACCTTCCCCCGTCACTTCAAGCACGTGCGAGATGGGCTATCCCACCAACACAACTTGGGCTTTGCTTCACACTCACTAATGGCATGGAAGAATGGATGTTAGTCAAACAACATAACATTGGGACACGACAGAACACCTGCAACTGGCCGGCACGCGAATGCATGGGAGACACACGAGAGGCTTGTTCAAAAGACAGTCTGTAGCAGAAACCCGGGGTGTAAGCCCTAACGGAACGAACTTGTAGCTTCGCTATAGAATCCACCGAAACAGCTGTTTTCAGAGGCTTTGTTTTGTAGCGCTTCTGAAGCTGTTCAGAGAGGCACAAGCCATGCATGGGTCACCGTCCCGTCGCATGCTTAGCTAGAGTCTTAGGGCATCCTTTTGCACAGCTGAAAGGACAAGCGGCGGGCTTGGAGCGCTTTGCTGTTTGCATGGCGCTCCTCTCGGCTCCAGAATTGGATGCCTGAGAATGCTGGACACTTCGCGACGCATGCGACGCAGAAAGCAGGAAGGTGCCGAGTGGCCGAAGTCCTGAAAGGGGCCCAGCAGGCCCCAGGCCGACCTCAGGAGGTCGAAGCAGAAGCGCTGTCGTCCAGGCACACAGTTGAACCCATGGAGATTCTCTGCCAAGACACGCAGGCAGCGCTCGGTTTCGCGTGCAGCGGGGAGGCCGACGAGTCTGGCTGGCACGCTGACGCAGACACCGGCGGGCAGAAGTTGGGCTCTGGGATGGGATCGGAGAACCGAGCGCACTTCTTGTGCGGTTTGTCGTCTTGCTGTGTATCTGGGAAGTCATCGGCACGTGCCGGAGGCAAAGCTTGTGAAGTGCTCGACAGCTTTCGCTTGGTGGGCTCTGTGTTTATAGCAGCTGTCACTTCAGGCGTCAATGGCTTGTTTGTTGCCAAGATCTCGGATCGCGACGTTGGCTCTATCTTGAGTCGGGGAGGAAAGTCCGACGCTGAGAGCTCTGCCTGCTTCTTATCCATCTGTGGCTCAGCTTTCGGGGCAGACCATGAAGCCATGCTGATTCCCATTTCGGGCTCACCACCACTTTGGCGTGGGTCTGGCGGTGCAGGCTGTTCAGGCTGTGGGTAAACTGATGGAGACGGCGATGCAGCGAGCTTCGCACGGAGGAGGGAAGCTTCCGTCTTCGCGCATGACACGGCTCGGCGAAGGGCCGCCAGCTCACCTTCAAGGCCCAATTCTCGGGCTCTGGTGGAGGAAAGTTCGGCCACGAGCTGCTCACGATCTGCCTGGCGCCGCAAGAAGCTCCGCTTCTCTCTCTCTCTCTCTGTCTCTTTCTTTCTGTGTTCATGAGGAGAGGGCTTTTGCTTCTCTGTGCTAGTGCACGCCCCTTTTTGGAGTGTAGTGAACGGCAGTAAAGGCTTATAGGCGTCCTGCCCCTACTGAGGAGAGTGCAGTAGAAGAAACAGCACAGCCTAGGAAGTACGTCATACAGAAAATTCTGAAAGAGGGCCCGTCAATCACTCTACGCGCTTTACTCCGTTCATCAAGCAAAAAAGCTTCAAGCCTCCCTCTCTCGCCCGGGGGCGCCGGGCCCACCCGTGGTTGTGGAGCTGGGGGAGTGAAAAGAAGAACAGCGTCAAGGGGCAGAGAGGGTAAGAAACGCTCGCTCTCTCTCTCTCTCTCTCTCTCTCTCTCCTGGGCATGGGGGACTGTCAAATCTCCCGGGCAGAGTGCCCACCCAACGAGTTTAAGTCACTTTGAAACTAAAGCCATAAAGAATACGATGGTGCACTAAGTGACTGTATACTCTCGATGAAACATGCAATTGTGCTAACCTTGTGTTCCCCCGGCTGTAAAGACAGTACGAAACAATGAAGGGCATCGAGGGAACCTGAATGGCTGGCACAAGTGAAGTCATCTCGACTTCCACACAAGACTTCAGGGGTATAGCAAAAGTATAGTCGGTCGAATTAGCTTCCCCCACGCATGCACTGAGCGAGGTTTAGCGATGACGGATCGGTTGCCAAATAGGCACTGACTGCAATATGCAAGCAGATTACAGATCAGAATACAAGTCTCCTGCAGAAAAGTCCTCCGCAAGGGCCTTGATGTTTCCAAAAACTTCAGATCGGTGGGTGGCCGAAACCGCCATTGAAAATGGCATTGGGCGGTGCGGGTTGCAGGCTCCCCCGACAAAGGAGCAGATAAGTTCTGGTCTGCGTAAGGAGGGGCATCTGAAGAACGAAAGTTGTTACAACAGTCAAAGACCACAGTAGCACAAAGGACCAACCCCCGTACCTTTATACCAAAGGACAACTAACAACATGGTCACTCCCCATTCTGCAGTTCACGAGGTCGGCTTACACGTCACGCAAGAGCAACAGGTTGGCTTGCATGTCAGGAGCCACGCGGCACATGCTGTCTCGGACGACCATTGTTGCTTACTCCCCGCCCCATGTCACCTTTGGGCTGGCGAAAACAACAAGAAGGAGTCGGTTCCCTCACTTTCCGTAGGTTACAGTTTGCGAGCTCGCCGATGTTGCCCAACAGCTCAACCGTCCGAGTGAGGTAGCCCCCCGCCCAGCGTACACGCAGTCTTCCACCG